TTGCATTTTGTAAATTGATAAACATAAACAATTACAATATATATTTTTGAATGCATTCTTACTTTATAGCATTTTTTCACACCTGCCTAAAACCTTTGCACACTACCATATATAAAAAAATGTTATGGATGGTATGAACGGGGAAGATTCTGGAATGGAGGTTCAAAGTTGTCAGGAGAGGGGAGAGACATTCCACAGCAAGCGCCTCCTTAGCCCACAACAACAGTGTGGGAAGACGAAGAGGATGAGGCTGGCTCCTCCCTAGAGTCTCACAAGGTATATCCACTAGTTGCTTTAGCATAGGTTTAGTTTGGCAAGATTCTATTATGTGCAAGCTAATAAAGGAACTGAACTGTACTGGATTGCCTCATTCGTGTTCTTGGGATGATGATGGTGATGATGATGATGTTAATAATATATAGTTGTTAATCTGGACTTGCCATAGAGCATAGTCTTCACTCTCAGAATATTTCCTGAAGGGCTGAATTATAGAAGTGTCACTTTACTGGTCAAAATTGACATTTTCTCACCATATATTTTACAATAAAAGTCTATTTAGACATTTGGATGGCCAGTACTGGATACCATCCTATATTATAAATCTGATTGAGAGAAAATATGTTATATATTCATTAATTTACATAAATGTTAATTGAAATTATTAATATATTACTGCAGTCTAATGAAGGTTATACTTGTTTGAATAAATACATATGATATTAGTGCAAGTTATGATGAGATCTGGTTTTTCCGGTATCCCAGGACCGGCCTCGTAGCAATGATTGCCATGCACGTGAATAACACTAAAGAAAACACAAGAGTTTGTCAACAGATAATTTGGAATGATCCAACATAAAGCTCTTAGCAGATTTTTTGGATAGGGATGAGAAGGATACAGAGGCAGAAATTAATAAAGTATATAGAATAAATACAAGATTTCCAAGAACAAGAAATGTTCCAAGGGATGTTTTGGTGCACTTTGTCAGGAAGAAGACAAGGGATCAAGTTAAGAAGACAAGGGATCAAGTTAAGAAGACAAGGGATCAAGTTAAGAAGACAAGGGATCAAGTTTTGCAGCAGCATTTTAATACAAGACTGAAGATGAATAATACAGATGTAATTGTTCTTAAAGAAATTCCTATTAGAATTCAGCACAAGAGAAACGAGTATTCTTATTTCATTGAGACATCAAAGCAGAAAAAAATCCCATTTTGATGGGACGAATTGGAAGGTGTGATTTCTACTTTTAAACAGCCGAGGTATCAACTAAATTCTGCCCAGAAGACAAGGAAATTTCTAGAAAAATTCAAAGAGGAATTGAAGGAGATTCAAATGGTGGTGTCAGAGGAAAGTACACAAAAATTCCAACAGGTGCAACAGAAAACTGAACGGGATGATACTGAACTAGGCGCTACAGGTATTAATTTTTTCTAAATTTTTTGCTTGAATATGGATTAAAAATGCTTAACATGGAATATAAATGGAGCAAATGGTCCTCATAAGAGGAAGAAATCATTGTTTGAAAAAAATTAAAACAAGATATAATTTGCCTAGAAGACATATTTATTAGAAAAAAGAACAAAATACGTGATTTATAAAAATTTGGGCAAAGAATTTATTAAGGAAGGAAGGAAGGAAGGAAGGAAGGAAGGAAGGAAGGA